ATTTACTCTCAGAGGCCAAAAGCTGTGGAATAGTCTCCCAGAAGAATTTGGATGTATTTAAAGTAAAATAAAACAGCAATTTTAGGAGTATTTTTGGAAATCTAAGTTTTAGATATTCTATGTTTTAAATTAAGCTAAAGAGCCTTTTTGAGGAGATTAATAAAGTTATTATTATTATTATTAATACTTGAGAATAAAGGTCTACAGAAATTTAATTCACACAGGATATTATTTTACATTGTCTTTACTGTCTGCCTGTGGAAAGTGTTCAGTATAATTAACAATTATTCCACAAGCGCGTGTTGGATATGAGATGATAGATAGCCAACGAGGCGCAAAGTGCCTCGTTGGCTATAATCATATCGTATCCAACAAGCACGAGTGGAATAATTGTTTTATTAAAAATGTTAAATCGAATTATTAAGTTTTATTACATTTTTAGCCCCCTTTTAATTTTATGCTGACATGTATGCTTACCATATTTGTAGATTATGATATATTGGCTGATATACCATAATGGCTAAGCCAATAAAAAGTCTTGAATTGCATTATCCAATGATCTAGTTTTTAATAATATGCAATATTGGATTGTTAACATCATTCGGATCTTTCTGTGATGTTTTAAGAGGCTGTCAAGCAAACTCACAAAGTGAGAGCAATTTTTTGGAGCTCTTCGAGTCAACTTTACCTTCTTAAACAAGTTTTGATAAGAATGATTGATATCCTCATTTCCAGCGAAAAAGAATTGATTTTGAGTTTCCAAAGAACATGAAGACTGTCATTCACTCTGACAAAGGGCTAATGCTTGAAACATCAGCTTTTTAACTCTTTACAGTGGCCAATTTACAATTTCAGCTTACTTGATATAACCAAATTACTTTGTTACCCCCAACGATGCAGCACCAAAGTTTCTTTAGAAACTTACCCTTTTTTCTCATTTCCATAACCATGAAGTAACAATACTTTCAGAGGACTTTTGTGTGAAACTCTGGTAGCAGGTTGTATGTCAGCAAATGGAATATTTTGATTAGAAATTAAAGGACCAGTTAAACAGTTGTCACAAAGTAGAATAATATTTAATGATCATACCAAAGTTGAACTCTGAAAACTCCATTTGGAGCCAGTTCATTCTGAATGGAACCAGTGGCTAACAAGAGGAAAATAGCCCTTTTTACAGTTCCCGGCGCCATATTGGATGTGTAACCGCACAAACATGATAACGAGGTTAGTGTTGAGTCGTGTTGCGAGTTCTAGTGAGAGTTTAGTGAAGTGTGGTGGTGCTCTGTCCTTTTCATTGAGATATTTCGACAATGAACGATACTTTCCCTAGGCAGGATATTCCTCCTTCTTCTTCAAAAAGAAGAGGAAGACACTGTGCTGCTTTTTTGTTGTGCTAGTAGCTATTGTGACACAACAGGCAATCGAACAGGTCTGCATTTCTACTCGTTTCCGAATGACTTCCAGCAGTGAATCAGATGGTACAATCTCCTGAAACGCCAGCATGGAAAGGACGAATTCTTCATCACAAAATCAACTTTTTTGTGCTTAGAACATTTCAAAACAGAAGACATGCGAAAAAACATGGGCAGGTCGCTGGAAATTGGTGAAAGGTTTATAATGTTTGCATGGTTGTTTTGTTGCTTGGATGCCGAAATAAAATGGTGCTTTTATTTTCTGTATTGTAGTGTTTATGCTGGGATTTTTTTCTCGTTACTAAAAAGGTGACATTTATATTTCTTTGTGCTCTGTGGTCTTATAGATGTCTGTGAACTGAGTGTAAAATTATAAAATTATAATGTAATATTAAAATATAAAATTAAAAATTTAATAAAATCATGAGTTTATTATTATGTATATGGGCAGAACCATCTCGATTAAACTAGTCAGTACCGAAAAAACCACGCAAAATGCCTGCTTAAAGGGTCCCAGTAGCAACTGTGACTACTCAAGAAGAGTCATTCGAGGTTGAACAGGAATTATTTCACCAAGAAGTTGAAGCAGCTGTGTCAACTGTCAATGCTGCTTCATCTTCACCAGCCCTGCAACAATCAGATGTTCTTAAGCTGCAACGGGAAATAGAGCTACTGCAAGTACAATTAGCTGACTTGAAAGAAAAACTAAGTGAAGTTGAAAATGAGGGGGATATTTATTGGCGTGCCAATTTTCAATTGACAAAATTAAAGATGATGAGTCTGCGGTTCTATTTTATACTGGATTCCCAAACTATGGAGCACTCATAAGCTTCTATAATTTTATTGACCCAGTGCTGGCAAAGATGCAGTACTGGAAAGGAGAGAAATTGTCGAAAGAGAGTCAGCCATACCAAACAGATGATAACAGAAGTAAGCCGGGGCCTTCAAGAAAGTGTGTAAGAACCTACTTA